AGAATAATAATAATAATAATAATAATAATAATAATAATAAGCATTTATATAGCGCTAAGTCGACTACTTCTTCATAGCGTTTTACAATATATACTATATGATTAAAAAAAATACAAATTAATAAAAAAAGGGAGCGACTATTTGATTCTTGGACGACGACGACTAAAAGAATAAGATTTTCTCAATCAAAGTCGCCGTTTGTCTGAGCTTGTTGATGTAGAAAATTTGGTAAAACAAAAAGACATTAGTCTCCTTAAAATACGTTATTATTATATAGATACTGATGAAATACCAGGATTTCTCCTTTTACTAAAAAATCATATCTTCACCGCGCGCAGTGAAGATACTATTTTTATCTTTCACGTGTGAGGATATTGGTGTGTCCATGGTTACCCTCATACCTACTCAATTGCTGTTTCGAAAATGAATAAAAAAAGTTGTCTTTTATGTGGAAACTGCATCAGTATCTATATAATAAACAGAACATTACATGGTCGCTTGGGGATACGAATTTTATCTTCTCGTGCTGAATGTATCTCTCACTCGTTCGCTGCGCTCACTCGTAAGAGATACTTTCAGAACTCGAAGATAAAATTCGTATCCCCGCGCGGCCATGTAATATCCTCTATTTGTGCACTCGTCACGCAACACCAAAGCATATTGCGTGACGAGTGAACACAACGACTGCTCTCACCATAGTTTGACCGGTTAATGAACGAAGGGATTGCAAACTAATTTTTATCATCAGACGCCATTATGAACTCTAAAAGCTGTGGAATCACGGATATTTAATCTCGCATGAAAAATAGGTACGCATCGTTTAGAATATTTTTCATAGTTAACCACTTTACTCCTTAACTTATTAGCAATTTTTTGCCTTCTGGTTTTCTTTTTTTTTTGTCTATCAACTTCAAAACTATTTAGTACTTTACTAAAAACATCAACATAATGTTGTTTCCACTTCATCTTTATGCTGTGAAAATATCAGAGTATTGTCTTAAAATCACCTTGCTCCTCAGTAAATTCATTGTCTTCCAAATGACAGAGAGAATCTGTTTAAAGACATTTAGACATAAGATATTCACTATTATCTTTATCACGTTGAGGAGATTTTCGAAATTAAAAACAAACAAAAAACAAAACAATCATACTTGTTTAAGCGGAGTAGGTGAACTTTAGTGAAAGGTTTAAGGAAAATCATTTCGTAGTGATCATGAAAAAGTCTGAGCAAAAAAAATGATGTAGTGGTTTAAAATGATTTAAGTTGTTTACAAGTGACAGTGAATAAATTCAGACTGCAATCTGTTTATGAAGCGAATTTATGGTTTATGGTTTAATATGCAATGTTTAATGCTTTATTCCAGATCATGGAGAAGTTCACACAGTTTAGGGTTAACATTTAGCCATCAAAACGTTCACAGGTCAGAGTGATACTGAAAGCCGTTCATAAACGCCTTGATGTTTACAATGTACTTACGACTGAAGTTGTTCTTTATTTTAAAATCAAACCATATTTAATCGAGCTTGTGATGTTTCAGGTAATGTTAACACTGAATTATGCCAATGCAATGAGAAGTAAACTCTGTAACCGCATGGGTCTTTCTGTCAAACTTCAGACAGGCAAAGATAAAAACCACAAGGGTGGACAAGGGTTGAAATAGGTCTTCTGGGAGGGGTGGGGAGGGGTGAAGTTTGCCAAAAATTTGCATAAAACAGGTAGGCATTCATTTCCTTAAAAAAAAAACTGCAAACTGAAAAAATTTCCTTTAGTTTAAAGTACCGGTAATTAATTGAGGTACAATTTATTGATGTGCTTAAAAGATTTCCCAATAAAAGAACAGCCCATATACAAGTTAAATGAGATAACAAGGGATGTTGCACCAACATCCCTGGCCATACAGACTTCAGTAACTGGTTCAGGTCAGGGTGCTCTCCCTTCCCCACCCCCCAGGAAAAAATGCTAGTCTATCAGAGCTGCATGTACTCTAAACTCTCATGGGGGGTGGGTAAATGGCCCTTGAGATCAACAATTTGAAGCAAAAGAACACAGAAAAACTTCAATTTGAGGGAGGCAGGTAAAGGTAAGATAGGTTTTAAACCAGAGACCCTTTGAGGAGCAGAGAAATTCAAATCCTTACTAATCATTTATAGTCTTTTGACTTGTGAAGATAGACTCTAATGCAAAAAAGTGATTTGCCCATGAGGAAATAAACACTCTAAAAAAATGCCTTGCAAAAAGCTTGAACCAGAGCTTATCCAAAACTTTGTCCAATGCTACAAAGAAAAGACTCACCTTTTTCTGTCTTTTCATAGTCATATATATCAAGTGTGATCTCTTTGGTTTTGGGATTGACGTCACTGGTGTTACCAAAAAGGAAAAAGTACAGAAATAAATAAAAAGTTGATTTAATAAAGAGATACAGTGGAACCTCAATTTAACGAACCTCTAGATATGAAGTCCTCCCTATAATGAAAGATACTTCAGTTTCAGCCTGGCTAAAGTTACAGTTAAATGTCTGCTTCATAACCTCGCTACAACAAACCCTCAATATAATGAACCAATTTCCCCAGTTCCCTGGCACTTTGTTAAATCAAGGTTCCACTCTACTTGAATTGGCAATTAAAGAGTAAAAGTTTATTATGTACTTAAATACTTGTGGGCCTCCCCCCCTCCTGCTGCAGCTTATCCTAGCAGTAGCCCACCCCCCCAGATGGGATGTTAGTCCACTGCAAGGTTACCCCCCCCCAGCATTTCAGGGGGCTTCCCTGACAATTCACTAGTACCAATTTCTCCTCCTGGGAGATGAGCAGTGAGGCACTGTGGGAGGAAAGTGTTTTGCCCAAAAACACAACACATTGACCTGCCCAGGTCTAGAACCAAGACCTCTCCACCAGGAGTCCAGTGCACTGACCAAGGGGCCACTGTGTCTCCCGCTTGAATGTAGGAATTTATCACATTAAATTGAAAATTAAAGAAGCCACAGTTTGCTACTTTTATTATTTTGTGTTGTTAAAACAACGGTTAAGGTAGCTGATAACTGATGGCAAAGCAGATACTAGGGACTTGACAAGCTGCTAAAGAACCAGTCATAAATTAAAGTAAAACTTTCACAGACTCACAAAGTGAAATATTCATTCCAGAATGGATTTTCATTATCTCTGACCATGGTAGTTCTCTTTCGCTGAAGAGGGTTGCTAGTAGATAAGATGCAATAAGGACTGAGTGATCCTGAGAAAGGTCAAACAATCATGATTTAGACAAGGCAAAAGAACAAGTTATGTTCAAACTGTTCCATTTGTCAGGAGATTCTATGATGCTATACATTTGTTCTGCAATAATCATGAAAATGATCCATTTGTCTCATGCAGAGAGACAAAAGAATCTCAAACCTCATGTCATCTATTCTTAAGTCTGACAGATCCAAGGTATGGCTAAACCAAAATGTATGTACATACTTGATACTTAGCACTGCCACACATGATCAAACAAACAAAAAAAAAAAACACAGGGACCAACTTACCACTTTTGATTTTTCCACAAAGACCACTTGCTTTTATGACTAACCAAGAAAATAAAAATATATATTAGAGAAAAAATATTTCCAGCTATTTTAATATCATCATCATTAGTGTGAATACATCTGCCATCTTACAAAAGTCTCTTCTTCCCATGAGAAAATGAAGCACTACCCCTCTCACTGGTGTTCACATTTTGTTAAATCCCTTACAGCTCTTACTTTGCTCTTACTCTGGATAATAATGGTAGATCTAAGAGTCAGACTATAGTCATCATTTATGACAACAGTCTTTCTCAGGACTATACCCTCACAATCAGACAACATGATCACAAGAGAGAAAAATAAATGACAACAGACCACACTCAGTCAAGCTCTCCCTTTTCCTGAAAGCCGCAAAACTCTAGAACACAAGGTTATCTTTCAAATCATCAGTCATAAACCCCATGGTATCGATGAACACTTTTCATTCATATTAAAATACAGTGAAAATGTTCTTTGGCCAAACGTTTTAGAAAAAATAAGCTTTTGGCTTTTGGCCAGAGAACGTTTTCACTATAATTATTTTAATATGTCTCATTCTGGCTGTGCCTCAATTTTCAACTTTTCATTCAATTAATTTATTCTTGTTTTTCTTGTTAACATGTTCCCACCTATGACATAGCTCCATTTTCTGCATATAAACACACACAATCCACCACTCCTCTATTCACTCCAATGAAGGGCTAACACTCGAAACGTCAGCTTTGAAACTCTTTATGGTGGCCAATTTACTTTATCATCACAGTTGATAAAACTAAAATTACTCTGTTACACCCACCAACACAGCACCAGACTTTCTTTAGAAACTAACACCTTTATTCATCTCTCTTTTCTACTGAGTGATCATGTTATATGAACAGTATTTTGGCCAAATTAAAAGATATACCATGTCATGTAACTTTGGATCCAATGAACATACACAACAAAGAATTATTTCTAATTAGATGAATTCATCACACAAACCAATTAGGTTTAGTGCTGGTTTTATGACATTCAGTCAAAATGTTGAACACAACCCATGTTTGGTTTAAAACCTTGTTACCATTCTCTAGAAATTGATACCGACAAAAATGTTTACTCACTCTTGACAAGGAGTTTTCCTTCCTCTCCAATACATGATGGTGATGAAGGAGAATCAAGCTGTTCTTTTGAATTAGCTGAACTCTATGAGGAGAATAACAGATAAAAAATTAATCTGTTGACACCAAAGATTTGATTCAGAGCTGAACTTCCAGTGTGTTTCTGTGTATACAGCCAAAAAGAGAGTGTGGTTATAATCAGGATAACAACTCCAGCTGATAGTTTTGTAAATTCTCACAACCTGCTTGTTGGATAATGAATTGATACTTCATGGAGAAGTTACAGGTTGGTTACATCAGTGAATTTGAGAGTTTAACAGGTCTAAAGAGAGCTCATAAGTAAAATAATCAAGGAATAAATTGTTTCTTAATGCTCAAATTGTTATCAAAGAAAATTCTCACTATGATAATTTCATAAATATTTATTATACACCACATCAACATTTTTCATGACTTCAATTGCAAATTAAATGGCACTCACGTGATACAGAAGTAAATATAATATATTATTGATAAGTGAGTTTTACAAAACGTGTTAATGAAGCAATATTGCAACAACAACCCTAGATATCAAAATTGGTAGCAATTAAAAAGTCTTGAATCAAAATGCAGCTAATCAAGAACTGTTTTGCCTTTAAGCTATACAACACAAAATTTTATAAATATATTAGTTTGCTGCCTCTACATGGTGGTTTCAAGTATGCTATATAAAAATCCAACAACATTTTGGCAGTTTACAACAAACAGAAAGGTGAGCAAAATAAACGGCAAGGTGTTTACATGTACATGTATGTGCCAACTATAACATGCAGCCAACCAGATAGTTAAGGTGCACACAGTACACACGGTTAGCATCTTCATAAGTAATGGTAAATGAAACTACTATTTCACCAACAAGTTTAAGAAAACAAAAATGCTAACTTTACACCAATAAAACAAAAAAACAACTCCTCCATGAAAGGCCTGACATGAGACAAAGATTAAAAAAAAAATTGATAAAAGAAGTGGCTATTACAAATAACAACTTGAATCTCAGTGGAAATAGAGAGCAAAATTTCTCAAATAGGGCTAATCTTAGAAAACCAACAGAATGTATAAAGTGTTCTTATTACAATCTTAAGATTCACATGTTTTGATGAAAAATTCAGACACATTTTGTTGTAATCTAGACACAAATAGAATAAAAATATCGAGATTCTAGATAACATGGATGCAACAGGAAAATCAGACGAAGCTAGTCATTTTCACATCACAAATTGTTCATTTGAAAACTCTATCATGAAATAGAGGAACACAGTGTGCCTGCCGATAAGGAAAATTTCTTACCTTTGGACGTTGCCTTCCATTCATAAACACATAGACGTAAACATTTACAAAGTAGTTGTTTTCAATCTGTACATGAGAACTCTTCATTTGAAATTACTTTCCTTCTCAAAACACTACTGGCAAAAAGACTCCTTGACCGTTGTTGAATTTTTCAGAGCTCAAATATCTTTTCACACATCACAAACCTCTCACAAAAAGAAAACTTCACAGGAAGCAAGAGAGTCAAAGATAATTAATCGGCCTGAAATTCAGCTGGCTGTTACAAAATACAATTATTTTTAAACTCTTGCCAAAACTAACAATTTTTAAAATATATATTTAAGTCACTGAGTGGGCCAGTGAATATTTACAACTCAGTGAACAAAAATTAACTGGCAATGACTTGACTTGACTGTACAATTTGCCCAGTCAGTGCTGAAGTAAAACATACAATGCTATACACTTCATGAGAAGCAGTCATTCAAGGAAAACACATCCTTCAGTTAATTATTTATGTGAAAAAGATTTGCATGACAACACTGGAGCAGGTGGCAGATTAAGAAAAGTGAAAGAAGCACTTTTTCACAGTCTGAATTGGGCATTAACTTAAATTAAGCTTGAAAAACATGCAATCTAAAACTGAAAAAATATTCAATTTGTTTCCAATCAAAATCAGGCCAGTCTAACTTCTAGCAAAAAAGAAGAAAAATCTAAATTATGTTCTTTCTGCCAATAAAAGATAATTTTAAAGCTTTTTATTGAGAGCTGCCTTGTGAGGTCACAAAACCATCTGCTTTTCAAAACAATGTTTTATTATCATACCCAGAACATTCTATAGTAACAATTATATTGAAATAAATAAAAGCATCCTGCTTCAATCTTTAGATTTTGCATTAAATGGATTTGAGTTACATTTCATTTATTTACTTAGTTTGTATTTTTATTTTCACAAAGACTTTGGACTGTCAATTAATGTTGACCGAAAGAGTCTTTTGGCTTCCATTTTCTAAATGGAAAAAAAATCTGGATTGATATAACCACTAACTGATGGAGGACAGTCTGGAAATGAAGCTCTAGAAGGTACTCAACAGAAAACTGTTCTATTTATCATTTCTACAAGTAAAAATAATGAGAATTTTACCTTTAGATAAGATCTTAGTGTGTTTTTTCCTATCTAAAATTAAAGGATCCTAGGTGACTGCTATGCTTTACTTGCATGTATCAGAGAAATCTGCTGTACATATTAAAACCATAATCTTTCTTTTGACTTTAATTTGTTTGGTTTTTTTCAACTTGTGATTTTCCATTGTTGCATATCCTAGGCCTGTACTGAAGCCTCTAAAGCTCCATAAGTGTACTGTCTCATTGTTACACTTCATCAATTTTTATAATTCAGTTTATTAATTAATTTGAAGCAAAATAATTTGAATGCAGTCAAAATTGAAGAGTTTGTTGTTTCACATTTTTTCTTCTGGGGAAAAGTTTGTAGCCTGTTAGCCTTACCTTTGTGTGATGGAACCAGTTTTCTAAGCTTTATCAATAATCTTAAAAATTTAATTTAGGTCATTGCTCAATGTACTGGATGGGTAAAGTGTAACTGCAATTTACCTACAAGACTGTGTATCAAGAAAATTCATTCTTTTACATGCTCGTATTTACTTACTGCATCAGAAAGTTGTTCCTTTGAAGTGGCCTCTGACAAGGGGATACTAGTAATTGTTTTACATATCACTTCCTTGACTTTTTCTTGAACTTCACTGGCATCCACTTGGCTCTCCTGAAAAGACAGACCAGATCAACAATTTAGAAAATAACCATTGCAAGAGTGACATCAAAATAAAGGAAAAACACAGTAAAATAAAGCATCACTGATACTGTAGCCCACCATACATGTGGTTGATCAGAATAACCAGAGAAGTTAGAACAATGCTATATGTAAAGTAACCATCGTTAACTTTAGTATTGTAGATAGTGACAAGTCCCTTTTAATCCCTGGCGCCCTAACTTGCATATCGTCCATACTGTTTTCTACACATTTTCGAAGAAGCTGACAAGAAGACTGTTTAACAATCAAGATTTTCTCTAGTTGGGAATCTATTCCTTAATGTGTGATTCAGGGGTGATATAATAATTGTAAGTAGACATTAGATGCCAGTCACCCTAAGAGGCGTCAAATATAATGGTTACTGTATGTGGCATAAATATGTAATAAAATGTTACTAAGGTGAATTAAGAAAAGGAATGCCATGTATATACAGCAAACAGTACATTGCAGAAATTGACATTCTTGCCATCAGCTCTTACAGGGCTCAACACTAACAGTAGCCAACTAGCCACAGGCTACTAGAAATTCAGTTTTGGCTAGTGGTTGTCTATTTCCACTAGCTAAGTTACACTAGTAAACAAACTGAAATTGTGGTGACATCCAAGTCATCACTAGCCACTTAGCTAGTAAGTTGAAAAGTTAGTGTCAAGCCCTGTCTTAGCTCTTCATACACTTGGGTGAAAATACTTGTATTTTCCCTGAATAAAAGTCAGAATTTTCCCCTTTTTCTTTTCCTTCTGTCAGTGAATCATAGATTATGAATAATGTGAGAAAAGTCAGGAGTTTTACTGTTGTTGTACACAGCATACTGTTCAAAGAAAACATGCTCTCTGTGACACTCTAGAAAAAGACTGAGAACAAGAATTCTTATTGCATTTTTTTTATCTTCATTTTCGGTAATTTGTTTTAGAGGCACAACATTTGATAACTACATCTGTTGTCAAGAAAAAGTTTTTTTTTCCCCCCATAAAATACATTGAGTAACACCAATATCCATATTCTCCATATTAATAATAATAATAATAATGATAATAATAATAATTGAATATTTATATTGCACAAATTAACATTGTGATATGATCACATTCACATTGCAATGTTTTGCAGGGGACTTAACAGACTGCTTGTAGCAGTTTACAATTTTTTGTGACGACTAATTTAACAGATGCCCCCAATTTCTGTAAACAGCTACGTTCCCTACTCTTTGTGATAAATGCGAGGGTTATTTTTCAAGAACATTAAAATGTCCCCTGCTAACCAGCACAGAGATGATGCAGGAGACGGAGCCTACAGTTTATTGGTCCTTATCTGAGAAGACTAGAATCACTATTGGATGAGAACCTGTGAAGAACCTGTGAAAAACCTATGAATTTTTCTGTGAAAAAACCTGTGAAATACTATTTTTCTTGCGTGTTTTTTCAAAGGTTTTTCACAGGTTTTTTCACAGGGTGTTTCTGTGTCAGAGGATATTTCACACGTTGTTCACGTTGTTCATGTTGTTCCTCAGTTATTTTAAGACCCTGAGTTTTCAAGCAGAATTACCCTTAGGCTACTGTTTAACTCTTTACCCCCTCCCCCCTAATATCAGTATAATATCTATTCTCTCTACCACCCTCTATACAAGGAGAATTGGCTTAACAATCAAAAGCTCCTTTAGTTGGTGATCATTTCCTTAACTCTCATAACCTCAGTGTGTGATTCAGGGATGATATTGCAAGGAGAAATTAGATGTCATTCATTCTTAGGGTTTAAGGGGTTGATTAATTCAGGCAAACAAATTAAAGGATATCGCGCAATCAGAAAACTTTACAACAGCCTTAACAAAGCTAAATCGTTATACTAGTTATGTTAATTATCAAGCTGGTCATATGTGACCTCTTTGGGAAAACGGATCCTAACACTTTTCTGCTAAAACTGCAAAAACCCTTTATTATCTGTTTAAATCTGTTTAAACAATACATGCAAGTGTTTAATTAAGTGGTTTGCTCATCCATTAAAAAAAAATTTGCATCCATTAAATGCTTTAGCTAAAATGTTTAAATGGTTTACCGTAGAATTGTGAACATTTTAAGGGTGATTATAGGTCATAACCCCATTCAGTAACTGAGTACTTCTGGTATCTTGGATAGTTAACTTACAATTATATGTTCAAACAGATCTACAGTTAATATCATATTTTTCATCCACAACCATGTGATAATTCTTTGCAACAGTATGCAACCTAGTAGTCAACAAAGATATGCTAGATGTATTGTGCCACAACAACATCTTGCTTGTTTGTACTAAGGCAAGCTCTAAACTGTTTCTTGACCACATGGAAGAGTGAAAGAGGAAATGAACAAATACAGAGACCCAAAAGTCATTTTTAAGGGAAATTATTTCTTGGAGTTTTCTTACAGTCTTGGAAATTACCTATATATATGGTTACATTATACAGTCAGTATCAAATAGTTTTTGGCAGCATTAGCTGACTTGGGCCACTTACAAAAGTCTTGATTTTTGTTTCAATGTGAAAAAGCAACTCAAAAGTTATAAGAATTACTCTTCTCATTAACTGCAAACTACTATTGATTCTGTTTCTCCCAAAAAATATGCACAGGCACTTGAATCAGGAATTGGATAAAAAAAAATTAAAATTAAACAGGAGTCTGTGTGTGAACATCTAAAACCAAATTTCATTGCAAGTGCTGTACATGCAGTTTGTATGTAATAAAAAATGTTGTTATCTACACAAGAACTTAAGAAAAATATTGGCCACAATTTGGAAAATTGAAGAAACAGTATTTTTTTTTGTTGATCCTACTTTCAAGCTTCACAAAGTTTTCCCTTTAAAATTCAAACCAAGATAATGAAACACAGTAACTGCCATGATTTCAATGACAACAGTTGTTGGAATACAGTGACAGAAGTTAAAAAATTCCACCAAGATGTGACAAAGCTGTATTTTCATAGGACAAGGAGTAAAGAACTTGCTACAAGTACCTGTCAAGGGCAAAGCTGGGGTGCGTTGTGATACTAGATATAAAATCAACTCTTACCCCATTTGAAGGATCAGGTGATGTTCTTACAACACACTGAAGTTTTGTTTCCTCACTCTGTTCCAAAACATCATTACCAGCGCCTGATTCAAACCAGAACACATTCTCACAATTCACCCTTTAGTGCAACCAGTAAATTGAGGTTCAACAGAAGAAACCTTTTATCTCAACACCAGCCTTCTTTACCTTGCTTTGAAGAATCCTGTCCCATAATGCGAAGCTACCAGTTTGGTGTTAGACCCAGAGTATCCTCACAAAGCCAGCTTACAAATAGCAGCTGAATTTCAACTGAAAATGCCAGTTTTTTGAGGGTTGAATAATTAATGATCTGTAAGCTTATTCCTTTTTCCCCATGCACTAGTGTAATGCCAGAACAATGTTTATGGTGAAGCAAAAAACTGCCAGGGGTCTGGGTAACAGTTTGCATTTCTCAACAATTACATCAGTTTGGTATGAATAACAAAGAAAGTTGAGAGCCTCAAGGTATCAGCAAAGATGATGCAAAGAAGAGAATTGGAGTCACCCATTTATTTCAGCCATAAATTTAAGAAACAAAATTGAAAATTCATTTGAATCAAGTTCCTTTGCTTCAAAAAACTTAATTCATAATGTCTGCTTATAAGCAAAATGTTATACTTTTGAGATACAATTTTGCTGTATGTGAAACTGTTAGCTTTCCTGGTTTCCTGTTATTAAACAAACTTTGAAATAAAAGGGGTTTAATTTCCAAGAGCTACTAAGTGATGACTTCACCTGAATTTTCAGTAATTATCTGTCATGAAAACAACTAAGGAGAATACAAAGATTTATCAGAAATGACATGGTCATTGACATGCATATCAGTATATTCTCAAAACCAAAACTTACCAATGTACAACAGAATCAAATGAGGAGATTTAAAATTTTGATGTTTTAGAAAAAAAGGGTTTTAATTTTGATGAAGTTGGTAATAATATTGACTTAGAAAAATTGAAGTGAATGGATACAACAGGTGGAAAGGCAGGTACTTGACTAAAAAACCTGTAGCTGATTTTAACATTGGGATGACAGGTAAAACATACAGCTTGCAGGCACCACAGTGTAAACATGTATGGAAATTACAATCTAATACAAAGTTTTTTAAAAATGTTTATAACAATGCTGTACATGTCAAATGACAACTGAACATGGAGATTAAAAAAATGTTATGAATAACTAAATCAGGAGAGTTTGCATCGAAATTTGCCATAATGAATTTGGTATTTAATGATAATGCACAAAAATTATTATTGTCCATAGTTACCATCACAGTGGTAATAATTACCATATGACTTGGGACTTTTCCACTTAATTCCATTACTGATTGAAAAATGAATTCTCCTTACAATATTCAGACATTTTTAAGTGGGTGATAAGAATAGCATTCAAGGGAACATTGCTTCATTCAACACTTTATTCTCAGAGCTAAAATTAAATGAGAAATGTCTAAATGACTGAGCAACAAATTGATATAAGGATCTTCAGAGAGACAGGGCTAATTCAAATATACCTGTACATTGTAACAGTTTTATTTTGCAATAAACTGCACTTTCTATTGAAAAGTTTGCAAATCATGAGTTGGAAGCATTCTCCCAACAGTCCCTGCATGGGTTAATAATTATGTCAGTAAACTGATAGAAATTGTGGTCTATTGCTTTTCAGTGCGATAAACAATAGGTTTTTGACCAGTAAGGGGCTCAGAGTACTCTAGTGTTTTTATATTTAGGCATAACAGTCTGGAAATTATAAATTGATATTTCCAAAAAAATTCCTATCATAGTTAACTCCTTCATCACACAGAGTAACACTACATGCACATTTCACAAAGGAATCAAGCAGTTTGTGTTTTTCCAAACCAAAACACTACCTAGATTTATACATCATGTATGTAAATTTACCTTTCCAAGACACTTTGTGGAAAGAGCAATCTCAGGAACACCAATGAACTGGGCACTTATCTGGATCCTTGAAGGGGAAGTGCTCAGCTTGAGAGCCACCTAGGAAGAGGGAACAGTATCATGATAGCTAATGCTGACAACAGTCAACCACAAACAAACAAACAGTCACAAAAACAAGATGACATTCTCTGTAAAATTTTCAGAAAGAAAATTAAACCAACCCGCAGAACTTAAATTTTGGTTTCATCAGCATGATCCAACAAGTACTACAGTACTAGAATATGAAACTGTCAAGGAATTTGTCAAGTTTTTCTGACAGTTTACTGGCACTTTTCCAGTTTTCTTGAGCGGAGTTAAGAACTGTGGGAGGACACAACATAAAGATACACACAATAGCATGAGACCAGACCAGTTGATCCTGGATCCAAAGAAGAGAGTTCTCTAGATACAATAATGGAGATCTGTCTTTAAGCTCCCAGATGATCAGTTATTGGTCTTTTAAAATCAAAAATTTACCTCTCCTGCCAGTCTAACCACACGTACTTCCATAGAAGTGGTTTTGGGTCCTTTGCTTGTCTGTTGGATGACACGCACAAGGAAACCAAGATCAACTGACTCCACATGAAATGTGATACACTGAAATGACAATAAATTGGATGATTTGCAGACTAAATATGTTTATCACCTGAGGATCACACATTCTGATGCTAAGTGTTATGGAAACTCTACTTAGAGTGATCACAGAGTATGATTTCTTGATTAATTAACATTGTTGTGAGACTTACATTTTTTCAAGTCAACATGAATATATTTGGAGTTTACGATGAAATGTGATCAAACTAACAAGTATTTATTTCAGACAATTTCAATGTTATATAATTATATAATTCATTTCCAGCAAAGTTTGTGTGATTTGAAGATTTTTTAAGGGTAACAAGTCATTTCACCTGCAAAACAGGTATAAACAAAATTTTCCTTAAGAGTATCAGTGTTTTTATCTTGATTTGAATTTTTCCAAATGATTGATTTTTAGTTCTCCTTTATATTATTATGTATCTTAATCATTATCATAATCTCCAAAAAGAAAATGAGTAATAAAAAAAGTGGGTCATATTAAACCAAGGGAAAACTGAAATCGCATTATCAGTAACAACCTGAACACATTCATAATAATTTGGATATATCAACTAAGTTGAAGTGGTAAATTGGCCACTGTGACGATTACAAAAGCTGACGTTTCAAGCGTTACCCCTTCGCTCCGACGAAGGGCTAACGCTCGAAACGTCAGCTTTTGTAATCATTACAGTGGCCAATTTACCACTTCAACTTTGTTGATATGTCCAAATTATTTCGTTACTCCCACTGATGCAGCCCCAAACAGTTTCTTTCGAAACTATCAGCCTCTGAACACATTCATATTGATAGATGTGAATGGCTGGCATTACTCAAAAAGAAAGAAAGTTGATATATTCTTGATATGTTCTTTGCTGTATTCAATTGACAAATTTACAATCACACCCACCTGCATGTTACCACTGACAGACAGACAGTACACACTTGTTAGTTTTGGTGGTAGGCATCCTGGACAAAGGCTCTCAATTATGATCCTCTGATCTTTCTGAATTACAACCAATATAAATCAATGAGGGGTTTGTCATGACTTGGTTTGGTTTTGCTTTGAAAATTAAAATCACAGAAAATTAACATCCTTGATATGCATCATGAATCAGCTACTTGTATTTATATTCAAGTTCACACTAAAAATTGAATTGGAATACAAATCAATGATCATAATATAAATAATGGTTAAATTTATAAAACAAAAAGTTTCACCAATAGGTCATGTATTTTATTGTAAGTAAAGAGAAGCTCCAACCAGCAAGAGTACGAGAAATGAGGAGAAGTTACTGCTATAACATATACAGCAAGTTTGCATGATGAAAATGCGAAAAAGTCCTCTGGCTGCATGCAACTATCTTGATTTAAAAAAATAAATTGCTAGAGGCCAAGTGAATGTTGTGGAAAGACTGTACAGGATTAATTGACAACATTTGCTGAGCCTGAAGAGAAAAATTGTTTTAGCATTATTCCTCAAGTGATTATCTAAAAGAATCCACTTGCTTTAATTTATGCTCTTTTTTAGAGATAGCCAATAAGAGGCCATGTTGAAAATTAGTGCCTAAGAATTATCTTTAATCAAAGTGGTTGAGATCTGTTGCAGTTCCTAACCAATCACAGTGTGCAAATCTCCAAAATCACCAGAGCAACCATACCAAATGACATGGTTCAATGGGTAACTGAAGTGAATACACAGACGTCACAAAACGATTGGTCATTCTGTTAAATCATCCCATAACCACCTCACACATGGTGATAATAACACCAACACGACAGCTCTCTATCAGCCTGTGGTAGTCTATTTATCTTTTTAAACAATAAAAATTTACATTTGTGGACAATGCATGTGTTCTCATAATCACTAGCAGGCTGATTACGCAAAAAACAAACAATTTTTCTCAGCAAACTCAAATGATATTGTCGATTAAACCTGAAAAAGCAATATTAATAATTTGTTTATTGTTTTCTTAAAAAGCAGTATAAATAAACATTACACAATTAACATTTCATCACCCAAAATGTTCAGTGCACTTTCACTTAAAATCATTTTAAAGTCAAAGCTTCATTAATAAACATAACTTCAAGAAATATTTGAATAAAACACGAAATTCGCCTTGTTCAAAAAATCATCGATATTTCAAGAGATGTTGGCGGGGAAATTGTGGGGAATCAATAGCAGCGTAAATAATATAACAAAATTACCTTTTTGTCTTTTTGAAGTTGTTTATTTAACGCTCGTATCCAGAGCCTGACAATGTTTGGGGTTCGATCTTTCCCTTGAGCGTGAAGGTAAAACCACGCCAAAGTTGAATTCAGCCATGCACATGGTTCGATAGTCACCGCTCGATTATCCTTCGTCAAAGTTCTAATTTTCCGACTATGCTTCTCGTCCTTGTCGCCAATTGACTTCTTAGATGGTCTTTGAAGAAACAGAACCACCAGAAATAGAAGCAAAAGATGCAGAAGGACGACGTAAACCTTTACAGGAAAAGACAAGTCTTGAACGAGCTCAATCGCCATCAAATGTCAAAAGCGAGTTCAACTTGTCGCAGGTAATAAGACTTGGGACTGTAAATGAAGAGTTTCGAGTTTAAGGTAATTTAACACGCTGCTAGCCATTGAAATTGAGACAGCGTCTACAGACTAATCTCTCAAAATAAACAGCCATTCAAATAACGTTTGGATTCTCGTCGCGACTTACAGATGCAGAGGGTTAACTTCCTTCGCGAGATTTCGGTAGGGACAATACTCTAATCTTTCGTTCGCGTGTGACCTGCCACGCTGTATAGTCTATTCTTTGCACGCTTAAAGCTCCCTTGTGTTTCGATCCAGATGGTAATATGTTTCCTTCATGAATATTTCAAGTAATTATCCAAACAGGCGTACTATTCATCATGATCTAGACTAAAGCGGTCCTTGAAAGCCCAAGACAAATGCCTCCAAGCGATCATTGTGTTCGAAGATGATCTCAAAAAATTCAGATTTTAAATTGGTAATTCCTTGAACCTTGGAAGACACGTTCTTTTCCGTCTGTATTTTCTTTCTTTGATGATTTCATCGATGATTTCATGGCAAACACCAGCAGAAATTCTGCAAGTTTGATTGTATTTTGGCAAAATGGTAATGAGAGGGGGAGTGGAAACAAACATGTCAACAAACGAAAACACATGGAAAAATAAAAACAGCGGCATGGACTTGGGAAACGGCCTCCTCAAAACATAATTATCTCCTATCGGTAAATTAAAAGAAAATGCATTTAATTTTGCGTGCGCGTGATCTTTTAAAAGCAAGCTAAAAGATGAAAAACACTTAAAACGCACAGTTAGCATTAAAAGGATAATCTTTCATTTGAGTTTCCGGTTCACAAGGGACCTCTGGCTCATTCCTATTGAAAAATTTAGGATATGTACATCCAATCCGTCATCACCAATCCGTCGCAATTGTTGTCAGTCTGAATCACTCGCGTTCCTCCTTGGTCAATTCTAACCTCTTTGTTTTTTTCTCTATATCAAATGAGATCATTAATGTCGGTACACATTATGACTACTGCCGAGTTGTGGGAAGGGTAGGTGAGCAGTTGTTTAGATACTGAGCAGCTATGCCTTTACTAATTACCTACCGGATATTGCAAGGAGAACTTTCTATATAATTTGTGCTAGTGCCAGTGTCAGGAGTGAAAAGTTTAAAATGACTTGAAAAACTGGGATTTCACCACAGGTCTTACTGCTTTCTTAGCTAAACAAAACTGATAAAGAGCAAGGCGAAAATGAAAAGGTACAGTAGAAGTCTTACCCCCAACCCCACCCCCCTCCCTTGTCAACTTATCTATTGGAATTTAAAATCAAAGTTACAGACTGCTGCAGGAAAGTAGAAAAATAAGTGAAATTTTTCAAGTCATGTAAAGTGTGTTAGGTTCGTGCTGATTTCACCAAAATTTATCACTTTGCAGGGTCTTGAAAGAGCCAAATTCAATTTTTGTACCGAAAAATTGTAAAAGAGTCAACGGTCGATCTCCATTGAACGCTCCTATCACGTCCTCTCAAAAAAAAAAAAACTTATAAGAAGCTCTAACGCACGCGCTTTCTTCAAATAAACTGCATTTTAAAAACCAAATTGTTACGTCATTTTTCAGCAAACTTCAGAACGCGCATTTTCTTGTGTTTAAGTGAGTTTATTTCACTATGGGAAAATTTTTCTCCTGTTTGCAGTGTGAGTGTACTAAAACAAAAGTTATTCCGCTAGGAATTTTGCCGGAATTTTCCGACAAACCGCTCCCTGGAAAAGACAATTTTCATCGTACGGTGCAAAATCAGTGGTCAAACGTTAACTCTCGCGGTTCGCCGCAGAATCTCTCTAGAGAAGTGACGATTTGTTCTTCATTAGCGACTATCTCTTTAGGATCAAAACAGTCTCTCCCTTTGTTAGACTGTTTAAGTGCGGAAGGAGAGGCGCAAAGAGGGCATGACAGCGATAGTTCCCCATCAAGCAAAAGGCATCCCGGTATGTTTTCAAAGATTATTTCGAATGGAACCTGAAGAAAAAAAGTCGCAAAATGAGACAGCAAGACAAGCTTGCGGGCATATTTTATTGAAAATTTCTTTTCGCTTTCCTTTTACACCAGCAGACGACGTCAATTTTTTGGTACTTCCCAAAGCTGGTATAGAAAAAGTGCCCTTGGCAATCACACTATCCTCTAATTCTCTCCATTCAGGTCTTTTTATTCCGGAGCCCAATGAGAGCCAGATAGATCCCTCAAAATCTCCCGCTGGCAAGGATAGTTGGGACTATAACTCCACCTTACCTCAAATGATGGACGGATGTAAGTCAAATGTGTCAAACCTTTTGCACACCGGAATTTTGACATCTCGTGCCACGAAAACAAAACCTGACGAATCTACCTTTATTATGGTGAAGCCTTACTCCGGTGAGAGATGGTTTCATAAATTTTGAAGAAGCACACTTCTTCTCTTTTTGCTGGACGATTTGTCCGGCCCAAGAATGCTTTCAGAAGCGAGCGTGAGTTAACAAGTGTTAACAATGATCAATACGTTACACAGGCCATTAAGTGCTCGAGATTTTCATGATCTTTCGTTGCCCTGATTTATTGTTGTTTTTTCTCTTTTTTAAGATTCCCTTCCTAGTATTCCTATAGAGAATGGGCATCAGCGCGTGTGCATTCATGGAATACCGCTGGGAGGTATAAATGGTGATCCGCATAAAGTGGATTGCACTCTCTGCGAAAGGCCTGGATCAAAAGGAGGAAGGGCTCTTGCAGGCATGGTAGCCTTCCGAAGGGCACAATCCAAAAAGTCAAAGTCTGGGTCGATTCTTCAAAGCCAAAAACTGACCGAAGAGCAAGAAAAGATGAGAAAAACCACAGAAGAGTACGACAAAGCTCTACGCAAGTTTGCTGAGCGGCATCAGAACGACGATTAAAATGCTCCTTAGCTATCCAAATCCCTCGTTAGTTGGGAGGATTTCGAAGAAAGGAAAGCAAGAGGGGCAGTAATGGGGTGGAAGCTTTTGCCCCGGCCGGGAGAGGCAAGCAAAAACAGCGTTTCACCTATTGTGTCCCTAAACAGCACACTTTTGAGGAGAGCACGGGCCTAAAATTAAACTTCCGCTATTCAGCCGCAAGATGAAGACAAGTTATGAGTCAACAACTTGTGTCTGCGGAGTGACTCTTACTATGGGGTATAATGGCGCTGTCTCGTAAAAACGAAGTTATCGTTTAAGGCTCCTTCCTGTGGTCTAATTATTTTTTACAGTTACAGAAGGCGACTATTTTGTAAAATCACTTTATTTTGTAAATAGTTAACAACGAAGAACTGAAATGTACAGGTTCTCTATATTACAAGAATCCTTCTATATATTACATTATAAACACACAACAAGCATGATTAATTGCATTTCAGATGTTACTCATTCGCATGTAAACACAACAATTAAAGGTTGATATTTTATAACTCGTGATATTAACAGGCATATAAATACAGGGATTCTACATTCGGGTTAAAGATTAATTATAAGCGTACTCTTCGACCGAGTGCCGTGAAATGAAAACCAGAAATACTAAACATAACCAATCAGATCAAAATCTCTGGCGCAAAAAGAGGGCAACGATAAATTATTTTAAGCAAGTGCACGAAAACCGTGATAGGCGTGGGAAAACGCAGATAGCCAAATCCCGATTAAATTAGATCTGCATCTGATTGGTTGTGGGGCGGGCTCGAGTTTTCTACACCAATCGTAAATTGGGGGATGGTGCGTGGAACCAAGTCACAATCGGTTCTAGTTTTGTATCTAAATCTCTGAGAGTCAGACACATTTTCGAGACTTATGTCAGAGAGCAATGAACTAAAACCAATTCAAACCGGTACTGCTTGCAAAACTTGACTTAGAATTTCTCCTTGTTTGTTTCGCAAGCGGAGTATTAATCTCAGTTTATGACACAATTTTGTTCAAGGATAACCAAAGGACAACGATTAATCCAACTGTTACTAACAGCTTATCACCCTTGTAACGAGACCCTCCATTAACAGTCTCCGACAGTTGAGAATCCTGGGCTCCAGCTTTCATGACAGAGATTTCAGTTTCGTTCTTGGAAGATCCAACTTTGTTACACTCGTTACCAGTGCAACAACGGACGCAGATGCGTCTCGCCCCAGACCCCACAAGTTCCACTTCTCGGCGACATTGATCCTTGCAGGAGTAACCTCTCAATCCGTCATCACTAGAGCAACCCAACATGAGCGGCAGAACGCTAAACAAATACATAAGCAGTTGTAAATAAAAATAAGCAGCTCAAAATTTGGCTTTGTCGAGAAGTAAGAGTACAACTATAACAAAACAATGTTTTAGGAAGAGGGAAATATTTGAGACGGATCGATAAGTGACAATTTCTTTGATTTCCATCCTATGAGCCCCCGCGGGAGTGCCGCTCTTATTCATTTATCAATGCACCTGAAGTAGTAAAATTACTTGAAGTAGTACAATCAACACTCGAAATGTATCAACCCTTCCCTAAAAAATGCTTTTAAGAAATCAAAGAAAACACCAAAGATCTTTCGCAAGCTAAGGACCACGAATCAAGAGTCACCCTTGAAGGCTTGAGCATTAGGTCTTTCAATTTTGCGGTCAGATTGTTCTCCACCTACGACCCGCAGGCAAGTTAGCTTGGCCATCTATTAAAAACTAACTGCATAATTGAAAAAGTGAATAAAAAAATGACGGGTCATCATTCTCTTTTCTTAAAAAATTTACAGTTAATTCTCTGGACAAATATCGATGAAAATTACAAAGCTGCCAATTTTCTACGTGCACCTGGTCGTACACGTTGTAATCGCGCGTGAAATGAAGCCCAGTAATTCTGCGCAGTCCTGATAACGTCACTCACCTTGAGTTCGTCTTTACTGCGCTTTCTGTTTTTTTCAAGGTAATGGCTAAGCATTTATCTCCGGGTGGACATTGCTTGATCGTCACGAGATCTCTGTGGCACATTCTTCCTTGACATGTGAGGCACTTTGGACCCGCAGTCATTGCATCAAGCTGCAGAAATATTTCTTGTTTTCTTACACAACACATCCTCTTACGCCATAGGCGACCACCAGAAGAGGAATTAGTTACCAGGTTCACACGTTCACCGAGACCAAAACAAACGCGTTCGCACGAGTATTGTTTATTCTCATTGGCTCCTTTTTCATCCACTACCGTTTTTTTTATCGTCGAGACGCAAACATCCTTCCCGAGAAACGTTACTTTTAGGTTACTGTTAAAGTGATGTACTTTTCCATCACTGGGTATTGTGTGATAAAACGGCTTCGATAGCGGTCGTGGAGGGTCACGACGAAAGTTCACGGACTCGTTCACGAAGCGTCTAACACGAAGAATCACGGAGATAATGCCACCTGTCGATCCGTCACGCGGTTGGCACGGGATAACGCGACAACTGACCGTGTGGAGGCTGAACCAAAGAAGCACTCCATGGACGACAAGAACATTTAATAGGACTGATCGCTGTCCAAGACCGTTGGCCATCTTTCTTGAAAAAGTTTGTTCTGATGTTTAGTTGAGGATTGGTTTCGCAGTGATTATTTATGTATTCTAATTACAGGGAACTCCTGGTCAGGTGAGGGACGTTTTGTATTGGGTCATTTCCGGTTTAATAAAATTAGTACGATCGACTTCCGTCTCAGATCAATGATACTACAACCCAAATGAAGACCAAAAAAGTCGGCAAACTTTTTCGACCTATGTTTACGCTTCATTTCTCCCTCGTAAATAGAAAAATTGGGTTTGTAGCATACGGAAAATGAATTTTAATGTCAATATTAAATTATTAGAAGCAAAAATGATCTGACCCCTTTCAGCTTTAATCGCCAAAGAAGAGTGTATCCTCAGAGAGATGCTGTTGAACTATTTATTCCTCTAAAAGCCCTTCGAACTATGAAACTGGAGTTTCATACTATGATTTTATTTCGTTTTTGAATGCATTTGATTTCGCACTAATTCACCGATAACTTTTCTCATTGTTTCTTCTCTCTGGAGAATTCAAATTTAACTTAAAATTAATCCAACGGATTACTCTTTGGATTACTCAGTCGGTCAATCTGCCTTGAATATGATGGGAAAACATCTTGTTTATTCAGAAGTGGCTGGGTTAATTTATCGCCGCGTGATGAATAGCCGGTTTGCCCTCTACTTTTTTCTCTTTTTCAGCTTTACCAAACTGGGATGAAGAATTTTGACCTCTCAGTATTCATGTATAATCATACCTTACCTAATGAATCATAGAAAAAAATAGTCATACTACCTCTGACGTTTCGAAGGTTATTTAGCGGAACACATGATCGGTCACGAGTGACGGGGTAGAACATTCGATAGCTAGCACGGTTAAGTTGCCATATATGATAATGTTGCGTGACTTCTTGAATTACATAAGTAGGATTTGCGATCAGCTGATGTTTGACGGAGTTGATGTGTTCGTTCAAACCTTTAGTTCTATTTTCATTCTATAAAAAGAAGCGTGGAATCGGTACACAACTTGAACTTCACTGTTTTTTTTTTTTAAAAAAGGAAAACTTATTCTGGCTTAACTGTAAGCATAAAAATGCCGCGTGGCATGCGAAGTTACCACTATTTTAAGAAATATAAATATAGAGGCAAGACCGATACAACGTAGATAAGTAGATTTTAAGACGGAGCACTATATTTCGGCTGGCCAAACCAGCCTTCTTCAGGTGCAGTGGGAATTAACAGAGAATTGGGGTGATGCTTCATAGATAGCTGTATGGTCTGGACCGAAGGTTTAGATAACCTAAAAATTTTCGTCGATTATCTTAACAATATCCACCCCACCATCAAATTCACCAGCTCACACTCTTCCACTAATGTGGCTTTCCTTGACGTAAGTGTCTCTTTAACCACCGACGGTAATATCTCCACTGACCTCTACACCAAACCCACAGACAAACATATGTATCTATTGCACTCTTCTTGCCATCCATTACATACCAAAAAAGCCATTCCGTTCAGTCTAGCACTCCGCCTACGACGTATCTGTTCTACAGATAAAGCTTTTGAGACTCGCGCCGCTCAACTTACCTCATACCTTCTCAAACGAGGTTACAGCCATAAATTCGTCACCAAACAAATACAACGCGCCGCTGACATCTCCCGCACACTCACCTTACAAACTAAAGACGTAAAAAAACCTAACCGTATTCCATTTATAACTACTTTTAATCCGTCGCTTCCTCACATCTCCAACATCATCAAAAAACACTGGCATCTACTGCAGTCTTCTAACCGCTGCAAAAAAGCTTTTCCTCAGCTGCCAGTTGTCGCCTTCAGACGCTCCCCCAACCTTCGCGACACATTAGTAACAGCCAAACTCCCCTCTAATTCTACCACTTCCCATCCTCAACTCCCCCCCGGCTCTTTCCGTTGTGGTAGAAACTGCGTTACTTGCCCCTACATCTCTGACGGTCTTACTAACTATACCTTTTTTTCTACCGGCGAAACACGTCCCATTAAATCTCACTTGACCTGTGACACTAAAAACCTTATCTACTTAATTCAGTGTAACCGCTGTAACTTACAATACATAGGAGAAACTAAACGACGTTTAAAAGACCGTTTTAATGAACACCGCCGTACCATTGATAAACCTAACTCTAAATCTAAACCTACTACAGCGGCATAACACTTCATTTCCTCTCCTAACCCCTCTGCTCACGACATGGAGCTAATCGCCATCGAAAAAGTGTTTTCCAYGAGAGACTCGATACGCAAGGCCAGGGAAGCTTTTTTAATTTTTTAATTTTTTTTGGCCAGCCGAAATTTAGTGCTCCGTCTTAAGATTTACCTATCTACGTTGTATCGGTCTTGCCTCTATATCTATATTTCATATTCGTTATTTTGGGCCGATCAGATCATAGCTGATCCAACGTACAAGAGTAGGAGTATCGTCCACGGTTGCCTGCTGAACATTTCACTATTTTAAGGTAGTTTGTGCATTCTAGCTTTCTACCTTCGTGATACTAGTGAATGTTATTGGAGAGGAACTAAAGTCAGTTTGAACATTAACGACCCTTTTCGCGATTCATGTCGGACAAAACGATCTTTCGTGGTTCGACTTGTTTCGTTTGACTTATCTGTTCTTGGCAAAGTTATTTTGCCGCGGTCATAAAACTTTACGCGACCTTGTAAAAAAAAATAATAATAATAATAACAACGATTAAGAAAGGTAAACTTCCGCGATTGTACGGCAATAGATTCATGATGATCCATTACCTTGCGCGTCCAATGGGCTAAACGTATGGCACGAGTTTTTAAATCCTATCGTATTGGGATAAAAGAAGGCAAAACCAACACATTGATAAAATAACAAGAGAAAGCCAGGACCCTGTAGACTTAAAAGATCCTCAGTAACTTGACGTTATTCTCAGATGATATTACACGGTGGCGATAAGATATCAATTTGTGTTCGAGTGGCAAGATATATCTCCCGAGCGGAGCGCAGTGGGTGAGATATTGTCCTCGCCACTCGAAGATAAAATTCATATCTCCGAACTAACGTATAATTTTTTTTTATCATATGGACAATAAAAATATGTTGTAGATTTTGAAAAGCTAGCTTTACTACAACACTGTCGTTCATTCAGCGAGTTTGAAAGGCGGAAATGGTGATGTCTTGCTCGACAGGACCAATCGTGTTATATGCGAAAAAGACGACACTTGGTTCCCGGATGTAGTGGTCGTATTGATTCCACGAGTCCGGTAAAACACTCCCGTCCATATAATAAATACAAGTATATAGCATTGCCTCGGGATGCATTCAGTTAATTGTGCAAATCCCGCATGGATATGAAATATATTGCGGTGTCAGTGTTTCGTCAACTTTTCTCTTGGTTTATGGTGTTTTAAGAAATATATATATATTTTTTGATAGATTTTTTAGTCACATTGGCCACCGTAAAGCTAAGAGTTAAAAAGGTTTAACTCTTTACGGTGGCCAATTTACAATTTCAACTTAGTTGATATTACCAAATTACCTTGTTACCCCCACCGACGCAGAAACTTACCCCCTTCATTCATTTTTTAGTCACAACCTCGTTTCCAGAGTCTTTCATCTTCCCGCCCCGAGGAGCGAGAGAGGATGAGAGAAGATGAGAGACCCTGGGCACGAGTGCTTCCCAATGTGCCAGTCCAGTAGTTTTACGTTGCATTAAATATTCCACTTGCCACACTTCAATGCGTACACATACTTCATCAGCATGCACTTTAAGATTATGAAGAATGATTACGCTATGTTGAATTTCATCGCACGAATTTATCGGCCATGTTGTAAAGATAGCTCTTACCTAACATTTCGGTACGATCGAGCTCTGAAATTGACCTGTCTGTGGTTTCTCGACGGGCATTACGTTAATCAAACCTTTAAACCCTGTTCTCTATAAATTTCCTAAGATGCTGACAAGGAGAACTTGTTTAAATATTGACAGCTTCTTTAGTTGGTGATCATTTCTTTTATGCTCATGACTTTAGTATACTGTGTGAATCAGGAATCAGTGAAACTGTATGGAAAAATTAGATGCTAGTCACCTCTGAAGGGTCAAAAGGTTGACTCAAAGATAACTGTACTTGTTGAATAATTGAATCGGATGTACGCCTCGAACAATTATATGGTTTTATAGCACGAGATGAATGCACTTGTATGATAATAGCGACAGCAGTCGCTCGCAAAATCGTGCCAAATTGGCCTCCGGCATCTGGTCAGCTGCACATATCTTGCCAAGGCGGAGATTGCAACAGTCGACTTCGACTAACTGCAGCCAGGAATGTAAATATTGCAAACGAATGGAAATCTTACCACGACGACAATGCAGGTTGGGCTGGCCCTGATTCTGGTTTACCACTCATTTTTGTGACGTAATGTGTACTTGTATGTCCACTACAATCTGGCAATCGCATTTTCGACGAGACAAAGAATTAGAAACTGATACATAGCCTGTGGAGGTTATCTTCAGAAAATGTATTTTTAAATGTGTCACCACAGAGGAAGGTAAATCTGAGAGTGCTCTAGAGACACAAAGAATATTGGACTGAAAGGAGTTTTCTAACGTCATACTGAGCAAATAACTTATTCATCCACGACATCAGAAGCAATACCACGATGCGTTAAAATTCTTTAAGTTGGCCTGACTATGGCCTCTCGACGTGCGCCACTGCCGCTACGCTAAGAGTGTAAGAACAAAGTTCATTGAGTTGAGCGTTCCAACCATCAAACGAGCAATTTGAAAGATGAATTTACTCGTACTTGTCATATCTATAGCGGCAACAGCCAAAACAACACCACTCGCTCGCAAAGTCCCGCTGGATCAAGCACCCGCGTCTGGTGAACAGTGTCTATCTTGTCAGGGTGAGGATTGTGAAGGAGAATCGCCGGCGACGGCTCATTGCAGTCAAGAATGTGCCACAATGGTCGATCTGGGCAGCGGTGACAAACCCACTTACGACAATTCGCGAATAAGGAAAGGTTGTTCAGACGAGAGTTGGTTCCATCAGCTTGGTGGATGTCGGAACGAGTGTTTTGATGAAACTAAGATTTTTGGAACGCAAAGTGAAAGTAAGGATTGGATGTGCCTTTATTGTTGTACGGGCGATAGGTGTAATGAAGTCACTCCCGGCATCAACGCAGGATCCCTGGCGAATAGAGGCTCTATTCTAATAACGATGCAAGTTGTTCTGTTTTTACTTCTTGTTCATGTCTGCATGTTTTAACGGTGAACAGTTACATCGTTTAAATATACTTATGCCACCAGTAGACGCTGAATCAGTTAGGTTCAGCCCTCTTTGAGAGATAAAAATAACTTTGTTCTGATTTATCGTCTTCGTTATGTGAATTTCTAACCCGCGTACCAGATCAATCTTTTGTAGATGCGTTAGTGATGAAAAATTACGAGTTATTGCGAAGGTTTGCGGAATAATTTAAAAAATGTCGTTTTAATATTACTCCCCAGACAAGTCCAAGACTATTCTGAAGCCAAAACAATGAGATGCCCAATTTTAATTTTTTTATATGCTTGATATATCGATTAGACCAATAACATATCCTAAGACAGTGGTTTTCTGTGTACTGAGCAATGCTCCAGAATCAAATAAGTGAGAATAAACAGGAACACTTACTGATTGATCATAACATTGTTTTACTTAAGGTAAAGAAAATCGTTCAGTGAACTTGTCTGCTGTGTATGGTTCTAGTTTTACACCGCGTTTGACTTCCACAATTTGATGTACCGAGGAGAAATTTCTAAAAACATCGCAAATATTTCTCAGTAGTTTCGAAACGTGCTTACAGCTTCTCTAAACTTTCTCTGAGCTTCAACTATATTGGATTTGCCACTTTCAGTTTATTGGCCTTCATATCGACTGCCTTTAAATATTGGTTTACGTGTTTAAAGTGTGAGTAGTCAACAACAAAAGGAGGAAAAAGGCAACCTTACTGATCATGAGATGAGGGAAAGGGCCACAAACTCATAGTTCCGAGTAAATAGGGGTGAAGATTGTTGTATGCCACAGTATCCCTCTTTCCGCTAATTAACAATTGGTTCATGCTTTAGCGTGCACCATCGAGTTATGGAGCACGCGGGAAGTTTGGAGAGCAAGAAAGAAGCGTAAGAGTTACCCGAGGCAATAGCCGAGGGCAACTCTAGCTTCTTGAGTGCTCTCCAAACTTCCCACGTGCTCCATAACTCGATAGTGCA